GCCAGGCTGCAGGCGCTACCCAGCCAGGAACAGGGCGAGGGCCTCCACGAAGGGCTCAGCCCGGACGAAGGGCCCCCCAGCCTCGAGGAAGGGCTACTCCACCTCGACACGCCACGACCTTCGGGCACCTTCGGGCACCTTCGGGCACCTTCGGGCACCTTCGGGCACCTTCGGGCACCTTCGGGCACCTTCGGGCACCTTCGGGCACCTTCGGGCACCTTCGGGGCTGGCAAGAAAAAGTGGATCATTGGCGGCGACACGGCAGGGCTGGCGGTCGGGACTCCCCCGCGGACTCCCCCGCGGGCCACAGCAGACTGACTCCGAAGGTCGCTTTCGTCGCTGTCTCTCTCGCACTCATGGGGCGTCCCCTCTGGGCGCGAGAGAGACAGAGCGACCAAAACGACTTCTCGGAATCAGGCCGCAGGTGGGCGAAGTCCGGCTAGGAATGGCAAATCGGCTTGAAGGCTCCCCAGGGCCCCGAGGGGCGTCCCGCTCCGTCCCGCTCCGTCCCGCACTCCGAGGCGACTATCAGCACACCGCGTACACTGCAGAGCCAAGACAGACGTCGACAAAAAAAGAAGAACGAGAAGAAAAGGGCAGCCACTTTCTAGAAAATGAGCCGTTTCCCCGAGGGCCGCCAGGGCCGGCTGGCAGATGAGGGGCAGCAGCAGGACTCTTGGACGAGCACGTGGCAGATGACAGCAAGCAGTCTGGCGGGGGCCACTGGGAACCACAGCGGGGCGAGGCCACACACTGCAAGTCACAGGAAACCGCTGGAAACCACTGAAAACCACTGTAAACCGCACCGGGCAATTTGATTCAACTTTTTTTCGCAGTGCCCCACGGAAGAGTCATGGGCGGCATGGCCGCACGCCGGGGCGCCGCGGGCGGTGTGGTTACGGTGTCACTGCGGTGGCCGTGGTGATAAGAAGACCCAGCACACCTGGTCTGCTCCCCCCGGCCCGGTGGCACGGTGGCACGGTGGCACGGTGGCACGGTCCCGGGGGCGTCTTGGGGGAGCAGCCTCTCTGAAAAATGCATTTGAAATGCCATCGATTCCACGTCACATCGACTCGATTGAGGTCGACAGCAGCTTCTCTCTCTCTCTCTCTCTCTCTCTCTCTCTCTCTCTCTCTCTCTCTCTCTCTCTCTCTCTCTCTCTCTCTCTCTCCACAGACTCGGCGTTGTTATACCAGGCCGATCGCCGGCAGGTGCAAAGCCCTCTGGGGAAAGCCCCAAAAAGAGAGGAAAAGAGGAAAAGGCTTTTCCTTATTTTCCCTCGCCTCCTGAAACACAAGTTCGGCATTGCAGATAGCCACGCCTGTTCCGGCCTAGGGCGGCGGGGCCGGGCCGGGCCGGGCCGAGCCCCCCGCAGGCTCCGGGGACCGCACGGGACGTAGCGGGGCGGCCGGAACTCGAGACCAGGACGCACCAGAGCGGCGCACTTCCGGCGACCAATATTCTTAAGAGTCCCAGGCAAAAAAAAAACGACTCGACCAAAAGAAAAACAACCCGCTAGTGTGTGCACAGGTATCCCCGCCTGGCGACGTTCGCCGGGACAAAATAAACCCACGACGACACGACACGCCAAAGTATAAAAATTTGGTTGACGTTGGCAGCCCTGGCCGTCGGCAGGCGTAGGCAGGCGCGACAGCCCGGGGAGCCCCCAAGGGGGGTCGGCGCTTGGGGGCCGGACGGGCAAACCGGGGCAAACCCAGCACAGCCACAAAACAAGTTCGCCTCGCCGCCACGCTATATAAGGAGTCTGTTTTAGGGCGGGTGGGCCTGCTGCTTGGCCTGCTGCTTGGCCTGCTGCTTGGCCTGCTGCGCATCGCGGCATCGGACAACTTGCCGGCCCGAGGTTGCCTCCGAACAGTGTGGCGTCGCCGTCTCTCTCGCACCCGCACGGGGCGGCCCGCGAGGGCGACAGAGACGGAGCGCGTAATGACCCGCATAATGTAAAGGCGGCAAAAAGGGGCGTGGGAAGTTGGCCGGGCCGGGGTCGGCGTCGGTCGGCGTGGCGCGCTTAGTTTGGTGGCGGCCTTGTTGATGCCCAACTTGAGTCGACTGCCGCGTCGCCGCGTCGCACTTTCGGACGCACAAGAAGGCCGTGCGGCACGCCGTTCGCCACGCCGCGCCCTCGGCCAGGCCGCCAGGCACCGCCAGGCCCACGCCGTCCCATATCGCAGCGCGCCGAGCGCTCCGTTACCGTGGTTACCGTCCTCGTGCAACAAAGTCCCGCCCCATTTGACAAACTTGCCTCGAAAGCCACTCGAGCACCGCCCGCCACTATCAGCCACAGCAACAAGCAGGCTTTGCTCCTGGATAGATGGCGCCAAGGACAAGGCGGCATGTTTTTCCTGGCAAAAGGCAGCTCCGCCATTGGCTGGGCCAGCGTGGCACAGTGGGCCAGAGAAGACCAGCGGAGGCGGCCAAAACGCTACACGGGTTTTTGGAGCTTCACAGTCGCAAAAAAGGACTCGAACCGAACGTGTGACCCCACCAATGGATTGCTCTCTAAACGAGCAATCCATTGGTGGGGTTACACGTCCAGTTCGAGTCCCATTTAGCGACTCTGGAGCTCAAAACGCATCTAGAGTTTCAGCCGCCTCCACCGGTCTTTGGCCCCACTGAGGGTGGGTGAGAGACGCCAGGCACCAATCACAAGGGCGGCCAACGAGGTTCCAGGGGGTTTTCGAAGGTAAGGCCTTTCGATTACGTGAGAAAACATGAAAACATGCACCCCGCGTCGCCCAACACCGGGCAGCCCTGCCGCACCAGGACCGCGCAGCCGGCGAACTCCAAACAGTGCTTCGTCGCTCTGTCTCTCTCGCACCCCTGCGGAACGCCCCTTGAGAGAGAGAGAGAGAGAGAGAGAGAGAGAGAGAGAGAGAGAGAGAGAAGGGACAGCGACGACGGCACTGTTCGGAGTGCACCAGGGTGCCTCGCCTCACTTCGACGGGCTGTCGGGCTGGCCCGGACGGCCCGGACAAACAGGGTAGGGTGGACGCTCATCGCAAGGGTCCGGACAGGAGTAGCAGACAATCGCCGCGGACCCCCACTGTACACAACTCCACCTCCGCGCACTTCGCCAGGGCCACGCCAGGGCCACGCCGCGCCGTGGTGTGGGTTTATGAAATGGGGATTTAGATCCAAGCGAGGGAGGTAAAAAACGAGATGAGGTGAATGGGGGACTCTGGGAGTGGGGTCGAGAAAAACCGGCTGGGAAAACGGGGAGGAGGGGGCGCTCCAAATGTTTACCATATGACGGGGACGCGCTCCTAAATGAAGTATTTAAATGGAATTCGTCGAGGCAGGCCCACGGGGTGGGGGACGCTGACTGAAGTACCAAAAAAGTGGGTTATTGCTGCTAGGACCCCCCCCCCCCTGTTTCCACTTTTCCAGATGTCGCACGCGGGGTTACAAAAAAAACCTTGAGCAGAGAAACAAGCGCAGCCAAACCAGAGCCCGAGTGCACACAGAGCAAACTTCTTTATCCTAACGAATGCATCCGGCAGCGACTGTGTACTGCTGTACTGCGTACTGCTCCAGAGTTGGCGCGCACTAACCAACTTTCCGAACGCTGTGATTGTGCCGAGGACTAATGAGTGAGACATGTGTCAGTGCTGGCGGGGAAGGCGGGGAAGGCGAGGAGGGGGACGGGGAGCCGCGATGCATTCTACTCCAATTTTCGCAGCGTATTTCCGCGAAAAACAAACGAGTGGCTGACCGGCACAAACATATAGTTATTAATTAGCAGAAAAACCTTCTCTCAGTCTGGCGCACTCTGGCCGCTCGTTCCTTTTCTGCCACTTTCATTGTTTTTCAGAATAAAAACAGAAGTGAAATTAAAAAATATTTTTTTCCTCACAGAGTGTGGCGTTTCAGCGGTGCAATCACTCGCCACAAGCGAGCCCGGGGCAACATTGTCCCCCTACCTCCCTGGGCCGGGGTGTGTTACAGACCAGTACACCCGGTAGGTGGATCACCCCCCCCCTCCCTTCGCGCAAACACACACACACGCACACACACACACACACACACACACACACACACACACACACACACACACACACACACACACACACACACGAAAAGTGAAAGAAGTCCCGCCTCCCTGGGCCGGGCCGGCGGGCCCCGCCGCAACGGTTTCTCCACACAAACGCTGCGCGCGCGCTTCGGGCTCCATCCAGCACGAAATCACCACCGCCAGACCTCTGTGTGTCGGCGGGCTACCGCTGCCATGCCGCGCCACGCCGCGCCACCACTCCGAAGGCCATCGCGAGATTAAAACTTACACCCCGCGAGAGGCGCGCGCCGCACCTTCACGCCGACTGCGCGCTGTGTGCGTGGCCGCCACGCCCTTTCCCGGCACGCCCCGCCCCGCCCCGCCCCGCCCCGCCCCACAGACTGCACGCCGAACCACCGCACCTCCGACAATTTCGACCAGAAGCCTGGCAGCCTGCAGACTTCTGATTCCGAGAGTCGGTTTCGTCGCTCCAGTCTCTCGCTCGCACCCACAAGGGACGGCCCGTGGGCCGCGAGAGAAACAGAGAGCGAGGGAAACGACGACTCTTCTCGGCATCAGTCCTACTGGCAGCGGCGTGGCAGCCTGGCCATGACTGCGAATAAGCCGTAGCGTTCGGAATCCCAAATTCCAAACTCCGCCCCATCCCGGTTGATGCAGCAGTGTGTGTGCGTGTGTGTGTGTGAGTGTGTGTGTGTGTGTGTGTGTGTGTGTGTGTGTGTGTGTGTGCTGCCTGCTGAAAGGCTGCATCTGCCGCTTCATGGCCGTGGCCAGAGTATTGGCGGCGGGCCCAGGGCCCGTGCCGTGCCGTGCCGTGCCGTGCCGTGCCGCCCGACAGACGGCGTGGCGCCGCAACGCCCGGCAACGCCACGATGTACATTGCGGATGTGGGTGGCGCGCGTGCCACACACTCACAAACACACACGCACACACACACACACACACACACGCACTGAATGGCGTCGGGACTGACCTGGGGGATGCGGAACAGCCGCAGCAGGTTGGCCACCTGGATGGAGGTGACGCTGGAGGCGGCGCCCACCACGCCCGAGATGACCTTGCGCACCGTCTTGTTGCACTGGTACTCGGCGTCGTCGATGTTGCTGATGGAGCCTGCGGGAAGAGAAGCGAGAGTCAAGGCGGGCACGCTGAGCTGGCAGGAGAGACAGTCCGACAGACAGATAGACAGACGACGGGCGGACGGACAGACAGACAGACAGACAGCGGACAGGCGGACGTACGGTCGGCCCCGCCCTGCTGGGCACTGGGCCCACTACGCCTACTCCGCGTGTCGCGAGGCGTGAAGTAACCGAGAGAGGCCTAAGCGATGCCACGAGGAGTGCTTCGGTATCGCCCGCCCCGCCCCGCCCCCCCGCCCACACAAATTGGGACGGGTCGGCGAAGGGAGGCCGGCCGGCCGGCAGCAGGCCTTGGAGAGCCTCGCGCAGCCCGTGGCCCGGCCCTCGAGGGGAAGGGTCGGCCGCAACAAACTGTAAATACCCTTCGAGGTCGCCGCCGCACCACTGCGGTTAATTTGGCATCCGAAACGCGTGGCGCGGTGGGGCTGTGGCGGGCCGGGGGTGGGGCGTGGCGGGGCGTGGCGGGGCGTGGCGGGGCGGGGCTCGACGGCGCTGAATCGTTACCGAGTTAAATTGGTATTTATAGCCTCGCGGATGTCACGTGCCGCGTGGCACGGCGCGGCGCGGCGGTCCTTGTGCGGCATAAGGCCCTGCCCTTCGGCCCGGCCCGGCTCTCGGCCCGCCACTCGGCCGGCGTGGGGCGGCGGGCGCTTTCTTTCGTTGGCGGCTTGGAGGCGAAGCGCGTTCAAAGGACCGATACAAAGCGATAAAGCGACAAGCGATTCGAAGGCGCCGGAGCACGCCGAGCACAACCAAGCACGCCCAACGCGCCGACACGGACGTGGTCGTCATTGTGGCCGTGGCAAGTGGAGCCTCTTAGGACCGCGTCGGTCGCGTGACATTTTTCGCGCTGAAAAAGCAACGTCGTACTGGTGTCCGACCAGCGTCCGAAAAACGAACCTTTTTTGCGACCCAAAGACGGCGGCAGCACGACGGCATTACGACGCCAGTTGGACGCCGACTCTGACCACAAAGACTAGCCCCGATCGCCACACTGGCGTACGAGAGGCGTCAGACTGAGGTCGGACTGACGTCGTCGTGGGGCAGTGCCATTATGACACGGTTCAGGCCCCAATCTGCGATTGCGTTCCACGCGGGAATATGCTTGAGGGGCGTCTGGTCCCGGCACCGCCGTGCGTGTGGTGCCGGCTTCTTGCCGGAGCGCGCCGAAGCGCCCGCAGAGTCCAGGGTAGGCCAGCCCGCCAGGCTGCCATGCCGGCCGCGTTGCCTACCCCGGCCACCGCGGGCGCTCCAGGCGCTCCGAGGCGCCTCGAGGCGAGCACGTCGCGCCGTGGCGTGGCAGCCTTGCGGTGTAACATTACGGAAGCCCTTGGCGACGGAGGCCTGCTCCGGGTGCACAGGGCCGACGCGGCCGCGACACGGCCTCGACACGACGGCCTTGTCGATGCCAATGGCGTCCGCGGACAAAGCGCGTGTAAAAGGATATCGCCCTCTTGGGGTGCGACGCGGGGCGTAGGCCTCGGAGAGACGGAGGCGAAGGGAGAGAGAGAGAAGAGAGAGAGGAGAGAGAGAGAGAGAGAGAGAGAGAGAGAGAGAGAGAGAGAGAGAGAGAGAGAGAGAGGCAGGCGGCGTGGGCCGTAGGCAGCCGCAGGCCGCAACGCGATGAGTGAGGAGTGAGCCAGCCCCCGGTTTTAGGCATTCCCCCGACGCCCCGCCCCACCCCACCCCACCCCACCCCACCCCACCCCGCCCCACCCCGCCCCGCCCCGCCGGCGTCACGGGAGGCCTCTGGAACAGGAGACGGCGCCGCGGAGTGACACCGACCGACGTCGAATTACGGCGAGAGACAGAAAGTGAGAGAGAGAGGGGGGGGGGCTTTATGCCAGTGTTCCTTCATGTGCGTGCGCGGCGCGCAGATCACGCGCCGAGTCCTCGACGCGCCACGCAAGTTTGTTGTCTCGTTTTCGTTTTTTTTCTCCCGTTTTGTTGCGCCGCGCACTCTCTCGGTATGAAAGGGAGGGCCTAACTCGCTTCATCGCGGCGAGCCTAGCGGTACTGAGCACGAAGGCGCGTGTCGAGCGTGGCGTGGCGTGGCGCGGCGTGGCGCGGCGTGGCGTGGCGTGGCGTGGCGTGGCGTGGCGTGGCGTGTCGGCCCAGGCGTAGCGTGCCGTGCGCCTCGCGCGGAACAACTTTCCTCGTTTTTGCCTTCGCTCGCTCGCAGGACGCAGGACGTGCACACACGCACGCATAGGGGGTGGTGATGTCGCGGACGATGACACCGCAATGTACTACAAGCCCGCCCTCTCTCTCTCCCTCTCTCTCTCAGGCACGATTGGTGTGTCGAGCAAGTCTTCGGGGGGCTGGTCCCGGTCTCGGAGGAGTGGGGTGGGGCACGGCGGCAGCAGGCTGGCCGAGGCTGGCGCGGCGCTGTAGAGAGATTGCCATGCAAGACGGCAACAAGTAGGCCGTGCCGCTGTACAGGTGCGCGCAGCGCGCACCCTGCCGCCCCTGACTTCTTGAGCAGGGCGTGGCGCGGCGTGGCGGGCCGGCCGGGGTCCTGCGGGATGGAAATCCTTTCCGTACCCAGCTTGTTGGTGCGGTGCCCCACCCCGCCCCGCCCCACCCCGGGGCAGAGAGCCTTCCCCTGCAGAGGTGCTGGATGCGTGTTCAGCGCTCGCTGCGTCGAACAGCCCAATTACCCCGCGTCACGGACGGGCCTCGAGAGAAAAGGGGGAGGGGAGGGGGGAGAAATCGGCGCGCAGGTGGGATGAAGGAAAGCGGAAAAAATAGACAAGGGATCTGATATGCCCACGCACACGCGCTCTGGGTGAGTCAGTGTGTCAGTGTGCCGGGTCCTCGGTCCGGCAGTGGCGGTCCGACCGCGTCCCCCGCGCGGCCTCGGCCACAACTTACAAGACCGTAATCCAGCTTGGCGCGCCGACCGCTCCCGGCCCCGGCTTGGCATGGCGTGGCATGGCCCGGCGTGGCCCTGGCCCGGCTCCGCGACAACTTTTTCCCCTCCGCAAAGAGCCGGCTTCACACAAAAACGGGGCCGGCACTCCAGCAGTGACCACGAAATCGCCAGAAATTTGCTAAATTCCTCTACAAGGGGAAGAAAAAGCAATGTCAATTTCGGACAGCAAAATTGTAGGTTCTCATCTTTTTGTTCTGGCTGTGACAAAATGCGGCGTACGGAGCGTTCTGCTTGCGGATTCCAGGCGACCCCCACGTCGCCCCGAAAGCGACGGCCGCTCAATGGCGCGGGCGTGGTGCCGTTTTCCTGCTGATTCGAACCGCGGCGGGGCGGGGCGGGGCGGGGCGGGGCGGGGCGGGGCGGGGCGGGGCGGCCGGACGGGCGGCATTACTCGTCCTCTCAAATTGGAGCGTCTCGACCGCGCCGCCTCACTGCCCTCGCACCCACCCGCCGCGCCAAACCCGGCCAAAGGCCGGCCCCTGACGGCCCAATCTGTCACCTCGGAGGTGGAGGCGGCGGCGGCACGGGTAGGCGGACACGGACACGACGCGGTGCGGCGGCGCGGGGATGAGCGGCCAGTAGTCAGCCGCTCTGTCTCTCTCGCGCGCACGGCACGGCGGCCCTCGGCGCGGCCCGTGAGAGAGACGGAGACAGGGCGACGAAAGGGATGCTCGGAATCAGTTTGCAGGGCGCCGCCGGCCCCTCCTCAAGTTCGGTGCAGCGGCGTGGCGGGGCGTGGCGGGGCGCGGCGCGGTGGTGATGGCCGCGACAGTGACGGACGACCAGCCCAGCGCGGCCGCGGCCAGAGCCTGCAGGTGGACGGACTGGACGGCTCGCTCAACCACGTGACATTCTTCTTAGGATCAGCGTCGGGCTTCGGGGGTGTTATCTCTCGCTGGCTGGGGCTGGGGGCACTCCACTACGCTCCACAGTGGGCCAGAAGGCCGGTGGAGGCGGTCGAAATCCCGGACGTGTTCTGATCGAGCTCCCGAGTCGCTAAACAGGACTCGAACCGAACGTGTGACCCCACCAATGGATAGCTCTCCGAACGAGGAATCCATTGGTGGGGTCACACGTTCGGTGCGAGTTCTGTTCAGCGACTCTGGAGCTCGAAACGCGTCTAGAGTTCTGGCCGCCTCCACTGCTCCTCGGGCCTCCACCTCGCGCTGCCGTGGATCGGTCTCGTTTCCGTTTGCGCGCTGCGTGCCGGATCGCGCCTTCAGCGTCTCCAGGCTTTGCTCTCTTTCTCCAGCCTCCTCGGCGCTGCACTGCTTCGGCGGCCTCGGCCCCGAGACCAGAAAGCGGGTCGCCTCGTCCGCGCTCGTCCGCGCTCGTCCGCCTCCGCCGCGATCATGGCGCTCGGCACGCACCGCCCGCTGCAGACCGAGGGTCTCTCTCGCACATGCAAGCGACGCCCCTTGAGTGCGAGAGAGACGGATCGACGAAAACGACTCTCAGTGTGCTGCAGCCAGGGTCAGCGGGAAGCGCGTTGTTATTTCGCAGTGCAGGCCGAGGCACGCGCACCCCGCCGGCCGCCCCGCCGTCTTGCTCGTCCTAAATAATTGGCTCCCTTCCCCCGCCGCCCCACTGCCTGCAGGCTGATCCCGAGCATAGAGCCTCAGTCGCTCTGTCTCTCTCGCACACCCGCACAGCGCGCACAAGTAAGAGAGAGACAGAGCGACTGATCAGGGGACGAGCCTGCTGGCCGATATGCGGGGCGTCGAGGCGGCGAATCCCGGCCTCTCTCTCTGTCTCACTCGCGGGGCGTCCCGCAGAGGTGCGAGAGAGACAGCGACGAAAATGACTCTCGGAATCAGTCTGCGGGTGCACTGCAAGGCGCGCAACGGGACTCGGCGCCATAATGCGAGCGCGCTTCGAGGCGCCTCAAAGCAAGCGCTCCACAGCCTCTCTCTCTCTCTCTCTCTCTCTCTCTCTCTCTCTCTCTCTCTCTCTCTCTCTCTCTCTCTCTCTCTCTTCTCTCTCTGCTATCCACCAAACGTCGGATCCGCGGATCGCTGGATCGGCGTTCCGGTCTTTCT